TATATTGAATATTTATTCACCTCTCATTGGAAGGTGTCTGGCTGTTCCACATACTGTCTGATTAGCATTATAGCAGACTTGTCAGGTGGCTAAAAAGTATACATCAATTTTTCAGGACTTGAAGATGTAATTATATTTAAATATACTATAGGCAATATTTATAATATTTCCAGAATTATTTTGTTACTGATTTTGAAATATGTTCAGCCATTCATTTTTCTTCGTCTAGAATTTCAGTTGTATTTATAAAAGACCTTTTCCCCATGTCTCCTCTGTCCCATGTTCTTTTTTAAGAACGGGTTTTTATCCTTTTGCTGTGTTTTATATTTATTCAGAATATTTTGTGGGCTCTTGGTCTTCAAGTTCTGGTTACCTCAATAGCTCGCCAATGTTTTTGAGAAATAGTCTTAGTATTTTATATAACTTTTCTAGTTGTTCTTTGTGGGAAAATAGTCTGTAATAGCCAGAAGCAGGAACCCCAGAATATTTTGTAAGGAGAAAATTGGATCATGTCAGGTAAAACCTTTCACATGCTCCTGCCAACCATCATATAGGATGAACAGAGATCTGCTTCCATGACTCACAAGGCCCATTATCCACTGCTGACCTTTTTTTCAGCCATCAGTCCTCTCTTCAGCTGTGTTTATCTACTGTTAAATCTATCTAATGACCTCAATTTTGCTATTATATCTTGGTTATAAAATTTCTATTTTATTCCGTTTGATAAAGTGTTTCTTGACTGAAATTCTTATCCTACCATCTGTTTTCTTGGACTTCTGAATATACCCCTCCTGTGCCCATCTCTGTTTTATACTTCACACAGATCCTTTCCCCCGCATATAACAATGGTAGTAACTTCACATGTTCCATTTCTAGGCTGTAGATACCTTGAAAATGTTTGAAAAGAAGGACAGTAGAGTAAAAAGTGCAGCTGCAACCAACCTCTCGTTCCTGTATTATCTGGTAGGTTTCAGGCTTTTACAGCTAAGAGTTGTTTATATGGTATTTCTATATTGCTAAATTTCTACCTGAGGATGTTCCTAAGAGGTGTACAAAGAAGACTGGCACAGAATACATGTGGAATGAGGTACATTGAGGATCTGTTCATGGCAAGTGCTGGGTCAGGGGTTGAATTTACAGACGTGAGTGAAAAGACCATCTCTGAAGAAGGGAGGGAGAAAAACTGGTAGTGAGGGAAACACCAGAGAATTATGGGATGACAGCTGCAAGATGAGCTGGAGACATATTTCAACTCCTTTGTGTTAGTGATGAAGACAGTAGTATTTTAGGTTAAAAGATTTAAATAAAGGCTGGGCATGGTGGTGCACACCTTTAATCCTAGCACTTGGGAGGCAGAGGCAGGCGGATCTCTCTGAGATTAAGGCCAACCTATTCTACATAGTGAGTTCCAAGCCAACTGGGGCTACAGGGGGGCCCTTTCTCAAAAAAACCAAAAAAAAAAAAAAAAGTCAGCCGTGGTGGCACATGCCTTTAGTACTAGCACTCAGGAGGCAGAAGCAGGTTTATCTCTATGAGTTTGAGGCCAGCCTGGTCTACATAGTGAGTTCAGGCCAGCTGGGACTACAAGGAAGGAGAGCCTGTCTCAAAAAGACCAAAAAAAAAAAACAAAACAAGACTTAAATAAGGTTATAAGGTTACAGAGTGCCATCCATAACAGGCATTCATTGAATGCCTACTAGATGCCAATCATTGGGAATACTAGAGGTATGTGGGTGCTAGTTGTACTGGGTGCTTTCCAATTACAGACAACTTGCCTTTTATCCAGCCTCAGATAGCTCCCTACAGGCTCTACTCAGTTGCCTGCCTCTGCAGTCCCAAACAGCAACTGCTCACAGCTTTTCTAAGTGTTGCTTGTTACCATTGCCATGTCTAAAAGACAATGTTATATGCTTCAGTTTTTATCACAGCAGCTCTTCACTTTTTGGTAGTAATTTTTATGTAAGTCAGAGTTCAGAGGCTGCATGAAGACTTGTACAGGGATGTTCACAGCAATACCATTCGTGAGAATCAAAAGGTAGATGAGAGCAACCCAAGTATGTATCAGCAAGTAAGGTACAGAGCAAATGTAGTATATGCATACACTGGATGCTACTCAGACAGTAAAAACAGTAAGCTATAGGGACCTTACAAACATACCAAGTGAAAGAAGTCATAAGATCCCACTTAACATCTAATATTCAGGATAGGCAGGGAAAGAACACAGTACAGGTTTCTAGAGCCTGGGAGGAAGGAAAATAGGGTGTGACTGCTGATGGGCACAGGGTTTCTATTGAGGGGAAGAAAAATATCCTAGAAGGAGGTAATAGTGATAACTGCTCCAACTCTGTGGAGCCACTAATTGCCACTGAGTTGAGCATTTTAAAGAGGTTCTCACTTTCACCAAGCTGACCTGGGACAGATGGCTATGCCACTAGGAAATAGAGAGGTATGTGGACCTCATGCAAATGGCAAGGTCCTGAGCAAATGTTTGACCAAGAGAGGGAGAGAAAACCGTGCAGTGATAGAAGTATAAACAGACATGTAGAGGGTGATGCAGCCAGGTGCAGAGCAGGGGAGGACAATGATGTCCTTCCGGCTGTTTCAGTGCTTCAGGTGGGAAGGGAGTGCACAACAAATGAGGACATGGGATTTGAGCTTTGAACATGGACCCACCTATATATAAATACTGTTGTCATTCAAACTATGAAACTAGAGAAACTAGTCATAGGAAACTTAACTGGTTGAGCTTGATGGTTAAATCTTTTTTATAAATAGCCTGTCAAAACCAAGATATTTAAAATATTTGTTTCTGTTTATCATTATCTGTAATCCCAGAAAGCCTGTTTATTATTTCTCTACTCTCTAAACAATCTAAAGATACTTGAGGAAATTCAGTCTGTGTATCTTTTATACTTTGTTTAGGAAAATGAGTTTGCACAAGCCAGCAGCTATGCAGATTTAGCTGTGAACTCTGACAGATATAACCCATCAGCTCTAACTAATAAAGGGAATATGGTTTTTGCAAATGGTGACTATGAGAAGGCAGCTGAGTTCTATAAAGAGGCTCTAAGAAATGATTCTTCTTGTACAGAAGCACTTTATAATATTGGTGAGTTTAACATAATGAAATTGCATTTTGCAGTTTTTGTTTATTTTTTCATAAACTCATTCAAACTTGTTGACTTTCTTCCCCAAAGAAGTTCAAAAGACTGCTTCCTTTCAGATTATAGATTATTTTAAGTAGAATAAATAATTCAGAAGCTAGGTATTCATAAAATTTGGGTCAGTATTGTCATACTGCTCTCTAAAAAGACTTCCAATATCTATATCTATCACAGTGTACAAGGCTGAGTCCCCAAGTTTCTGATGATACTAGATTTTTTTTAACTTTTGTCAAATATGTACAGAAAAAAAAATCTTCCTTTTTAGTTATGAACAACTTCAAATATTCAAAAAGCACATTGGGGTATTTATCACTACAATTTAATACATTTTAAGATTTTGCCATATGTACTTAAAATTTTGTTTTAAGAAACAAAATATTGGGGCTGGAGAGATGGCTCAGCGGTTAAAGAGCCCTGGCTGCTCTTGCAGAGGACCTAGGTTCAGTTCCCAGCACCCACATGGTGGCTAACAACTGTCCCTAACTCCAGTTCCAGGGGATCCAACCCCTTCTTCTAACCTCTGCAGGAATTGTACAATACAGGTGCACTTACATACATACAGACAATACATCCATACACATAAAATAATATTTTTTAAAAGAAACAAAATATTATAAGCCACAAAAACTCATCAGCATCTCACTCCATTCTTTGCTTTTCAGAGGTTGTCTGAAATGGTACTGTTGCTTCCAAAATGTTGGAGACACACACGTCAGTAATAATGGGACTTGTTTCTTTAGTTCTCATTGATGTTACTTTGAAAATTTGCTTCTCCCTACATTTGTTGTTACTATTTGTTTGGTTGACTTCTGGAGGGAAGGAGGGTTTGCTTGTTCTTTTATTGTCTTTTTCACACTGTAACCTTTCCTCTGGAACCTTTCCTCTGGATGTCTGATTCCCTTAAACTGTCTTCTGGGGTTTAGTAATTTTTAGATAAAAGCTGAGTAGAAGCACTCAGAGACTGAGGCATCAGGATCTCTGTGTGTTCAAGGCCAGGTGTGGTCTGCCTAGCAGGTTCCAGGCCAGCTGGGCTACATAGTGAGACCCCCATCTCAGAAAAACAAAACAGTGCTTATTGGAGGAGCTAGGGAGATGACTGTCAGTAAAGTACTTGCTGCACAAGCTAGAGAACCTGAGTTTTGATCCCAAAGACTCACATAAAAAGCCAAACAGGGCAGCACATGCCTGTAACTCTAGCACTGGGTAGATAGAGTTGGGAGGATCCCTGGGGCTTGCTGGCCAGGTAGTCTAGCGGAATTGGTGAGCTCCAGGTTCACTGAGAGACCCTGTCTCACATAAGATGGAGAATGATTGAAAAAGACACCCAACATGAACTTCTTGGCTCCATGTGCATGCTAACACATGGTGTTTGCGTGCACACACACACACACACACACACACACACACACACACACACACGACCCACTCACTGTCAGCTTTCGAGAAGAGGTAAGCCAGGAAGGAAATAGCTGAGCAAGGAGAACCTGGCTCAGAAGTGACAAGCAGGATGGAGGCTATAACATTTGAGATCTGGAAAGAGTTTTACTGCACAGGGAGGGGAAGGGCATGGGCTCTGGTGGAGGAGCTAGATTGCCTAGATAGATGCTGCTTTATTCACTTAGTCAATTTTAGGTATTCCCCCCACTCACTGTTCCTTGAGGGTGTGTGGGACTGGGGCCGCCCAAGGCCTTGCATGTCCTTAGCCCTTGCTGTTCTACTTTTGACTGTTCCTAATTTCTTCTATAAAACAAAATTTTTCTGTTATTAAATTAGATCTGCCAAACTTGGCTTTTAAAAATTGGTAATTTGTTGATGTCTTTATTTTTTGTGAAAAACAAAAATACGGAATACTTCATGAATTCGCATGTCATTCTTGTACAAGAGAGATGCTAATCTTCCCTGAAGTATTCTAATTTTAGAACATGTGCTGCCAAAGCAAGCACTTATTTTGTTTATTTTTTTAGACAGGGTCTAGCTAAGTAGCCCAGGCTAGATTTGAAGTCATAGTCTCTGGCCTTAGTCTCTCAAATACTGGCATTACAAGTATGCAAACTACTGTTGATTACTTTGTGAAGCACTCTTCTTATGAAGAACTTTACCCCCAAGATTACAAAATCATGAGAGGTGGTGTAGTAGTTAACGTAAAATTGTGGTGCCAGGCTGCCTGTATGTGAATCTGCCCTGTGACCTTGGGCAAGTTTTTATTTTTTAAAAAATATTTTTATTATTTTCGTTTTATGTGTATGAGTGTGTCGCCTGCATGTATGTGAGTGTACCCATGTCATGCAGTGCCACAGAAGTCAGAAGACGGCTTCAGATTCCCCTGGAACTGGAGTTAAGGACGGTTCATAGCCGCCATGTGGGTGCTGGGAATCGAACCTGGGTCCTCTGCAAGAGTAGTCAGTGCTCTTAACCTCTGAGCCATCTCTCCAGCCCTGAATTTTGGAATATTTAAATATACGCAATAAGATATCTTAGGGATGGAATTAAGTCTAAGCACCAAATTAATTTTTGTTTCATATATGACTTTTGTACATGGCCTGAAAGTAATTTTATATGTCTCTACTCTAAAAAAAAACTTTAATTATACTTATTTATTTATTGTGTGTGGATGTTTGTGTATATATGTGGGTGCACACATGCCACTCACAAGTGTGAAGGTCAGAGGACAACTTGTGGGAGTTGGCTCTCTCTTTCTACTACGTGGGTCCTGGGGATAGAACTCAGGTCATCAGACTTGATGGCAAGCACCTTTATCCACTGAATCATCTTGCTGGACCCATGTCTTTACTGTTGACTCATTTGTCACAGAGGTTTTCACATAGGTCAGGTATGGGATTTTCCACTTATGATACCATGTTGTATTTTAAAAACTTTCAGATTTTTAATTTTGGAGTTTTAAAATAAGGATGTTCAATTTGTATTTTATACTCTTACAAGCTTTTTTCCTGTGTAATTTAAAAATAAATTTTGAATTTTAAAAACTGCTTTATTAGCATGTATTAATTATACATAATAATGGGTTTCCTGAGGACATTTTCATGCATGTTTATAATGCATTAGGATCATTCCCACTCCTGCTAGCCCTCTTCTTCCTAACTAGCCCCCTTCTACTTTCATGTCTTAAATTCTTTTCTTTTCTTCAGTTGATTTGTTTTTATTTTATATGTTTGAGTGTTTTGCCTGCATGTCTGTCAGTGCACTACTTGCGTGCAATGCCCACATAGGCCAGAAGAGGGTATGGGATCCCTTGGAACTGGAATTATGGACAGTTGTTAGCCACCATGTAGGTGCTGGGAACCAAACCCAGGTCCTCTGCTCTTCTTTTAACCACTGAGCCATCCATCCAGCCCCTTGAATTATTTTTGTAATGAAATAAGGATCTCCATTTTTCCCCTTCACATACAGTCAGTTATCCTGGCCCAATCTATCACTAGTCCTTTCATTTCTACTGACTTTAAATACCTGTTAACTACATTCTGTAGCTGACTTCATTTCTAAACTGTTTATTCCTCTCTTTGGAATTGTTTGTTGGTTCCTGTCCCTACAATACACACACTTAAAATCACTGGAGCTCTGTAGTATGTTTGATGTGTGTTTGGTGTATCCCACTCCCTATTCTTTTTAAAATCCTACTTCTCCTTGCTTTTCTCTTCTGGATGAGTATTTATATTTACTTAGATGTATTTGTTGCTTTGAGTCAAATTACAGCAGTAATGATGCTTCTTTTCTCTCAAGGTCTCACCTATAAGAAGCTAAACCGTCTAGATGAGGCTTTGGACTCCTTCCTGAAACTTCATGCAATCCTTCGAAACAGTGCTCAAGTTCTTTGCCAGATTGCAAATATGTATCTTTTCTGAAAACTTAATGATATGATTAGTTCACTCAATTGACATTTTAATATCAATCATTAAACAATATTAGTCATTGAAATAATTAATGAGGATAATCTAGCAAACTAATGCACTGAAAATATTATTTCAGTGATTCTGTTTTTGAATTTTTTGCATTTTAAGAGAGATTAGTTAAAAATTAAAACTATTATTTAGTCTTATAACTAATAATTGAAGGAATTGAGGACAGCATTTTGAAAACACATAAACTGTTCACTGAAAGTAAATTAGAGGAGCTAGAGAGATGGTTCAGTGGTTAACAGCACTGGCTGCTCTTGCAGAGGACCCAGGTTCAGTCCTCAGCACCTACGCAATGTCTAACAACCATCCATAACTCCAATTCCAGAGAATCTGAAGTCCTCTTCTAGCCTCTGTGGCCATTGCACAACACAGGCATACCTACATACATGTAGGCAAAACACTCATATACGTCAAATAAAAATAAATAAATAAATTAGAGGGTTTATACTGAGTTCAATATTGTATAACTGTATTAATTCAACAGTGAACCTAAAAATTTTATAGCCACTTTTGAAAGAGATGTATCTTTGCTCTGGAAACTGTTATTGAGTATGTTAAAGCTGTAATGAAATGTGTCTTCTAAATATATATATAATTTTTTTAAAAAAGGAAAGAAAGTAGTGGCTGTAGAGATGGCTTAGCAGTTAAGAGCATGCACTGCTCTTGCAGAGGACCAGGGTTTGACTCCTAGCACCGACATGGTGGCTAACAACCATCCGTAACTCCAGTTCCAGGTGATTTGATGCTCTCTTCTGACCTTCACAGGTATTGCACAACATGGGTATACTTACATACATGCAGACAATACACTCATACACATAAAATAAAAATAATGAATAAAATATTTTTTAAAAGAAAGTAGAGGGGGCTGGAGAGATGGCTCAGTGGTTAAGAACACTGATTGTTCTTGCAGAAGACCCAGGTTTGAATCCCAGCACCCACATGGCAGCTAACAACTGTAACTCCAGTCCCAGGGGGATCCAGCAGCCTCTTCTGACCTCCACAGGCATTGCATGACACAGGTGCACTTACCTACATGGACACAATACATACATACACATAAAATAAAAATAATAAATTTTTAAAAATTTTAAAAAGAAAGTAGAGGCTGGAGAGATGGCTCGGTGGGCTCTTGCAAAAGACCCAGGTTCAATTCCCAGCACACACATGGTGGCTAACAACCATCTGTAACTCCAGTTCCAGGGTAATCCGATGACTTCTCTGATCTCTGAGGGCATTGCATGATGCAGGTACACTTACACACGTATAGGCAATATACTCATATACATAAAAAAAGATAAAGTAAATTAGATCCTTTAGAACACAGTATTCTAATTTCTATAGGGTGTCATTGAAACAGTAACTTAACTAATTAAAAAGAAAATATTGTTCATGACTAATTAGTACTGTTGAGTTTGAGTAATGTATTTTAGCTGATGTGTAGATACAGTAAATGTAGCTCCCAGAAAACATTTACCCTCCCAAATTCTGCAATGCTATGTGTGCCCTCATTCATCAGTACTCATACACTGGATGCATGCTAGATATGCAGGATTATACTTAGAGCTTTGGGGATGTGAGACTATACACTATTGCTGTCATGTCAGCTTCTACAACATAGTTTTCTTCAGTTTTTCTCCCACTCACTGTTAGAAAAGCAGAAATGTGTTGTTTTTAATGCCTTTCACTTTTTTAAAAAAGCACTTTAATTTTTCTCATTTTGATAAATCTTTACCACAACGCTGGGAAGAGTTAAAGCTTTACATAGATTTTTAAGGTACTATTATTTTGATATAAATATTATGTAAATATGTTTAGAAAAAGGTGAGATAGGCCATTAGTAATTTTAAGTACTATCCACTATACTTTAGATGAAGTAGATTACAATTTTTTTCATAAAATTCTTAGAACAGATAACATCGTAATTTTTCCAGGGGTGTGTTTTGTGTTTTGTTTTGTTTTTTGGGTTGGGTTGGGTTTTGTATTTTGTATTTCGTGTTGTGTTTTCTTTGTGTTGTGTTTTGCTTTGTGTTGTGTTTTGTTTTGTGGTTTTGTTTTGTTTTGTTTTGTGACAGGGTCACAACTGGCCTGGAACTCTCTATGTAGGCCAGGCTGACCTCAATCTCTTACTTTTGATTATTGATAATCAAAAGTATTAGAAAAAAATGCATTAATCTTAACTAACATTGCCTAAGATATGAATTAATGGAAGATCCCAATCAAGCTATTGAATGGCTGATGCAGCTGATCAGTGTTGTTCCAACTGATTCTCAAGCTCTGTCAAAACTAGGAGAGTTATATGACAGTGAGGGAGATAAATCCCAAGCATTCCAATATTACTATGAGGTAGGTATGTTAGCTCACTTTCTTTCTATTTTATGAGTTTTAAAGGGTCCAGGCCCTTAAAATTTTTTAAAATTTTAGAAAAGTTTATAATTTTTCATGTTTAAAATATTCTAGTTTTGATTAATTTTAATTAAAATGAAAAAGTACTAATTTATTTTTCTTAAATGATTTGCCTCTTTTGATTCTTTCAAATATTAAATATGACTTTTATCATAAATAATTTATAACTGTCCAAAAAAGCTTGTTTTCTAAATCATGTATAGTTTCAAAACTTTACTCATGACAGCTCATACTTTTTTAAAATTATTTATTTAATAACCACATACTTAGAAGAAGCATTTCATTACAATAGCATTGACATATTCAATAACAATTTTCTGAGCTAAGATGCATCTCTTTCAAAACTGGCTGTAAATTTTTAGATTTACAGTTGAATTATTACAGTTATACAATATTGTACTCAGTGTAAACCTTATAAGACATAAAATTAAATGAGGTTTTAACCTTTATACAAGATCTCCATTTCATTATTAAAATACACAGTTTCATACAGAAAAATTCATTTTTAATGCAATTGACATTAAGATATTTGCACATGTATTTCTAATCTCTATATATCTGATTATTGCTAGTCACAGTCGGTTACTTTTTGAGCTCCTTGGCATCTGAGCATGGATATGAAG